GGCTGTTGTAAATGCTTTTCTTGGCGCACAATACAAGTTTCTGACCGATATATAAGAGCTGACTTGACATTTGGGTTAAAAGTCCGAATCTTTTTGTTCATGCTGATTTCATAAGATGTCCAAACTGATTTTCGAGTGATGAAGATCTATCTTGGCCTTCCCATCTTGGTTTTGACATCCTCATCTGTACTGTCGCTTGTGGTTAACACACTGTTGCCTAGATAAGTGAAGGAAGTGATCTCTTTCAAATTGCTCCCATTGATAGTGATTGGAGCTAGTTGTTATGGTTGATGGTGGCTGGTTATCTTCATTACTTCCGTTTTCTCTATGTTCACCTAGAGTCCTGTCTTCTCTGCTTCCTTGGCCAGTTTGTTGGTTTTCGCTCACAAGGCTTCGAGTTTGTGTGACATTTGAAATAAGCCGTCCAAAAAATCCAGATGTCCGAGAGTTCTTATCGGTACAACGCATTCCTGTCCCGTCACTCCCAAGAACAGTCTGATGTATGGTCCGGTGCACCACAATTAGGAACACCATTAGTGATAATAGGCAGCCAGTTTCTCTTACTCCTATTTGTACTTCGAACGCCTCGCTGAGTTTTCCATTGTGGATTACATGACATTAGACATCGTCATACAGCCAGTTGTTGAATGAGGTCTATAAAGACTTGATGCACGCCATAGTGTTCAAGCAGTTTCCAAATTAATTCTCGGTCAACGCTGTCTATCGAAGGCCTTCTCGAAATCGATGGAGTTGAGGTAGAGAGAGGTTTGACTACCATTCTATGCTTTGTTCTGTGATGACGATGCGTAGAGTTTCAATTTGATCAGCACGTGATTTGCCTTTCCCGAATCCAACTAGTTCAGGTTGGCAGAGTTCTTTCTCTATCCAGTGCATCATTTATTCTCTACAGGATGATTCGACTTAGTATTTTACTTGGCGTGGACAAGAGCATGATTCCACGCCAGTTCTTGCAGAGTGAGGCGTAAGTCGCTCTTCTTTGGCAACTTGACGCGGTAGCCTTTCTTCCAGCCGGTAGGTACCTTTCCTCCTTTCCAAAATGCTTGCAGTAATGGTGTGAGCACATGTTCGGAAGCCTCCGAGTCCGTTTTCTGTGCTTCAGGAGGAATTCCGTCTGGTCGTGGTGCCTTCCTGGACTGTCTGTACTTCAGTAGCTTGATTGGATTTGTGACTTCTGCTTTCATTGGAGGATTGGTGTCTAGTGTCATGCAGTTCTATGCGTGTTGTTGATGGTGGTGGTATTTCTGGTCGAGTTGCAGGTGGGTGATGGTCGATTCAGGAGTCGTTTGAAGTGATCAGTCCATGGTTTTATTTGTTTCTCCTCCTTGGTAATCAGGTTCTCTTGAGCATCTTTTATTGGTTTCATCATCTGGGTTGATCTCTTCTCAGATCGACACCTGCTTATTCGATATAATGTTCTGAGGTCTGTTTTCCCTGCGGTCCGCCTGTTGTGCTTCAGCTGCCAGTGTGTCGTAGAATGATCTGTTTGTCTTTCCTAGCACTCTTCGTCACCTCTTTATTCACTGCAGTGTACATTGAACTCAGATTCTTCTTCTTCTTCTGTTGCCCATCTTTGCATTGGTCCGTCTTCTCTTCACCATCCTCCTCTCCTATACTCTCCTCTATTAGCTTCTAGGTGATGTCCGTTGGGAGTCATTCCTCATCTTGTCTCTTCTTTCCTCCTAGAACAGTTGTACACACTCCTTGAATATCGCCTTCAGAGAGTTCCAATATTCTTCCAAGCAGGTTTCCTCGGTGATAACACGTAGTGTTTCCGACTTTGCTCTGATTCGATCTGTAGCGAAGGCATCCCCGTCGCTTTGTCCTTCACTCTCTGAATGTTAAACTTGAATTGTGGCCTGTCTCCAGATGTTTCGAAGGATTTCAAATTCACCCTGAAGGTTCCTTGAAATAGATGATGATCTGAGGCCACATCTGTGTCCCTTGTGGACTTTGTTTCCAGCTGATTGGCCGCGTCTCCACTTCCTTGAACAGCATTCAGATGAAATCTATCTGGTTTGTGGTATGTCCATCAGTCGAAATACACGTTTCTATGTGTATATCCTTGTGTTTTTACACGCTCCAAAGCTCAGATGTCTGAGAATAATTATCCGTTCTCATTCATTTCTCCAAGCGAGAGCCTCTCGATCCATGATGAGTTCTCTTCTTGTTTTGTCTGTTCCTAGTTCGGTTGACATTCATGTTGCCCTAAAGGATATTGATGTCTCCATTTGAGATGCTGTCTGTTACTGTTTTCAGTTGTCTATAGAATCCTTTCTTCTCTCGTTGTTTTTTGGCACATATCATTGGATGATTATCTCCTTCCTTCCTTTTGAGTTGAATCTTGCTTTCCTAATCCTGGAGGTATTGGTTACGACTGCATAGAAGCTTTGGCCACTGTTAGTGAATTCATGACAGCTTCTCTCTCAATGTGCTCGTGATTGGGTGACCAGAGTGGATTCCTATCTTACCAACTGACGATTTGAATAGTCTACATCCATTCCATCTGCTCTCACAGATTCCTAACAATTTCATGTAATATTGCCGCATCTCTTTGGTTGCCTGGGCAGCCTTTCCAGCTTCGTACACTGTAAGAATATTCGACATCCCCATCCTTATTTTGGCTTTCATCGGAAGAATACATATCAGCTTACTGGTTTCCCGAAGGCTATCACCAGCCGCTTCATTCAATCTCTCTGATTCCAGTGAAAAATAAGTTTGTGTTTTATATTTTTGCTGTGCATTAAAGTTTCTTTTGATATTTGACTGATTTTCTGGGGGTAGGATCGCTATGGCGCCGTCGCGACGCTAGCCTGGCTGTCAAAGGTCGGGTATACAGTGCTTCGGTGCGGGCTGCGCTGCTCTACGCCTGTGAAACCTGGCCTCTCCGAGCTGAGGATGTGCGGCGACTCTGCGTGTTCGATCACCGCTGTCTCCGCAGGATTGCTTGCGTTCGATGGCATCATCGCGTGAGTAATTCTGAGGTTCGGTGGCGTGTGTTTGAACAAAGTGGAGATCACCATTCATTGAATGTCGTCATCTGGAAACACCGGCTCCGGTGGCTTGGACATGTGCTCCGAATGGCACCCCAGAGGCTTTCGTACAGGTCTCTGTTCGCTAGCCCTGGGACGGGATGGAAAAGGCGGAGAGGTGGTCAGTCCATGACGTGGCGTCGTGGAATGAAGGATTTTTGTGCTAGATTAGCATCGGTTGGTGTGTCACGACTCCCTGGTTGGGGTCCGAGAGATAGCTCAAATCGATGGCTCGAAACGTTATTGGGTATGGCCAAGAATCGTAATCAGTGGCGAATGTGTTGCGATCTCCTTCTTTCTTCCCTTCCCGATGATAGCTAACGAACACTGTTTGAACTTGTTAAGCGTGACTGTTTTCCTTCCAGATGAAGTTCTTTATCCGTTCTCTACTTATATATATATTTTCTTTCCTTCCTTCCTTTTTTTTGATCTATGTTGTTTTATTATTATTGTGTGGCGCATCTTTCTTGGTGCCATATTGTACCAAGTTTTTTATGCGTTTAAATAAATAAATAGGATCGCTAGTGTCACGCCCAGCTCTCCTTTTCCTGGTCTTGGAACCGGCTAGAAAGCTAGTAAATTAGGCGAGGTCTTACCTCAATATCCTGCAAATGTTTACGTCGCTTTTCTAGTTTAATCATACTTCAAACCGAAGTTGAAAGGTGATGAGTAATTGCCTACAGAGTGTAGTGAATGCCGAACTAAAGTTGTCTCCCTTAGTTCATTCGTACTGAAAACCTTAAGAGTTGACTAATTTTTGTCTAATTATTTGATTGCGTGTACATTTACGTAGCTGATACTTTTGTGCTAGTTCCATGTCTATTCGATGCATACTATTCATAATTCCATGCGTTTAAGTCCATTATAGCCGCCAGTTAATACTAATAATCCATTCAAATTAGTTAATAATAGATCACTACCTATCAAGTAAGCCTACACTAGGTTACCAACTAATGTTAACTTTATTATTATTTATAAAAAAATGCAAGGACAGTGAAGGAAGGGTTTGTACGTTACTCTGTCAAACTTGCCAAAGTGAATGCAAAATCGAACTTCTATATCCGAAGTTTTCCTGGAAGGCACCTAGAGACATATTCATCCCAATTCTAAAACTTTTCAACTTCACACTATAAAGCTAATTGGCTCTATTAGTTCGCGTATATTCGAGTCGCAGAAGAATGTATCTTTTGCGAATTATCATCAAGTGAAAGAGAATCTTTTAATGAATATGTTACCTTGGCGCAGAGCAAACAACCTGAGAATGTTAAATCAGATATGAACAAGAGCCTCAAATCTGTCGAAGTACAGAAGTTCCCCATCGACCCCAATAAATTTGTTTTCAATCACTCTTCCGTCAGCTTGTCAGCATTACAATTGGAAGCCCTATCTTTAGGGTTGACATTTTGCGACGTAAATATATGTAGTAACAGACTCCCTACGTATGTCCGACTCGAAAATCTTATCAATCAAACAAGCAGCGTTACCCCTGTCTCTGATGCAGGATTCTTACATTTCAAGGCTGCAATCAATAGCTCAATTCAAAAACTAAAGCCCGATACCTCCTCACAATGAAGCACAAACAGCAGCTCAAAGATTTGAGAAACAACAAAGACCTTATCATTGCACCTGCAGACAAAGGTTCGGGAGTGATCTGTATGGATAGAGATGTGTATATCAGTTCTAATCTCAGATGATAGCAAATTTTCAAAACCAAACAATGAGAAGAGTAGGACAACTGGTGGAGCAGCAACTGATAGATGTCCTTAGGAGAATGAAGAACGACTGCCTCATAACTGAAGATCTCTTTAAACGCATGAGACCATCAGGATCAATTATCCCCCAACTCTACGGTCTACCAAACGTGTACAAAGCAGGTCTGCCACTTCGACCAATTTTAAACATAGCGGGATCCCTACACCATCCGACTGCAAAATGGCTGTCTGAAATGCTAGAACCTGTGAGATAACAACTATGTAAGTGCTCTCTCCAAGGTACTTTTGAATTTATTGAATGCATAAAAGATTTGAATGTAAATGGCAAGCGTATGTTATCACCGCATATAGAATCTCTAACTACCAGTGTACGGCTCACAGAAATAATTTGTTTCCTTTACAAATATACGGAGGACAAGAATTTGAGCATCAGAATACCGATCTCTTATCTGACAAGGTTGTTACTGAAATTCGCATTCAGTGTACAATTTGCCTTCAACGATGATATTCTACAGACAGAAAGATGGGATTGCTATGGGCTCTCACCTCGGGCCACTTTTGTCAGACAGTTTCATAAATGGAATCTTAAAATCAACAATGGACAAAATGCTGCTGTACAAAAGCTATGTCAACGACACTTTTACAGTCTGTCATTACGATTCTGAGTGAAATTGTCTTACATGTGCCACCCTTCAATTTAATTCACAACAGTATTAGGAAATGAATCAAACACTCCATTTCTGGACGTGGAATTGACAAGAAGAGATGGTGTAAGCCTGAAAAGATCTATCCACAGAAAACCAACATGGAATGGACAACTGACGAACTTCTATAGTTGGATGCGTGTCGGCTGAAACATAGCTCTCAACATCTCACTGGCCCACCTTATCAGAAGAATTTGCAGCAGTGACTGCTTAGAAGAAGAGCTCTTATTTCTTAAAAGTATTTTGGCTCAAAATGGATACGCGGCACGTTTCGTGTAGAAGAACATGAAACCAAAGCCGAAAAAAGGAATACACTTCAACACCAAAGAAAACACTATTTGAATCTGGACTACAGGGGAAATTTAGCTGTAGATATCCTTAAAAGAAGAATTTCCAGTTTCCTAAAGAAGACCTTTTCTGCAGCAACTCCAAGAGTGGTATTCTCTAACCGCCTACTGCTTCTAAGCAATGTGAAACACAAACTTCCACATATGACCACTTCGTGCGGAGCCAGGCACATTGGTTGTTTTATGGGTGTTAGAGAACATTACCCAGTATGGCTGCAAAGAGGAGGCACTGGTTCAGTCAGGAGCTCCGTAATATAACACCTGTCACAGCATCTCATCATCGAGTCATTTACAAAGTAAATAAAAATATACCAAAGGCAGTGTTTCCGACCTCTTTGTACTGCAGAAGCCTTTGCCATAGGTGTTGGAAAACCGGAGCTATCTGTTCAGAAGAAACTGGTTCAACCCCTACATTTATCATGGAAGTAGCTTGGTTTGTTTCCTTTGGTCCTGTTTTTTCATCCCCTTCATTTCCCTTTTTCAGTTTTATTTTTATTATTCTTTTAACTTGTTCCCGTGCTCATCCCATTCATACCTTTAGTTGTTAAAAACTATTTTCTGATGCTGTATAATTTTATTTCCAAGCCCCTTGTAATCTATATTCACACCTTGGAACTTTCATATCAATTTAAAATTAAAATTATTTCTCCACTTATCAAATATTAATTTAGATATGATAGAGAAGATTTGTAGCTCAGGTGGATAATTTTGAGGTGGTTTTGTTCTCTGAGCTGGATAGTTAGTTTGCGAAGCTTTCATCACCTTACTGGTGACATCTTCAGCGCATACTTCTTGTTCTTTTCCCTCTAGTGTCCCAATGGGTATTTTCCACGATTTAAAATTTACTACTCTCCTAAACTCTCGGACAACACTGAAGTAGCTTCGAGAAGAATTCTCTATATTTTTACCTAACTTTGGTTTATTTAATCGTCCAACCAGTTTGTCAAGTTTTCTAACCCCATTTGAATTGGGGAGTTTTCATTATCCAGGTAGTATTAGTAGTAGTATTCTTAGCCTCCATGCAGTGGATGTGGCTCGTCTAGTACATTAACCTGTGGAATCCTTGGCAAGTTACTTCGCCATGCTACCAGTCTGTTTTCCTTTGATCGGCTTTTTGTACGGATTCTACATATTCTCTCTACAATACTAATTTCATGCTACTCAATAATTCTAATGCAATTTCCAACATTTACAGGAGAAATTTTATTTTACTCGATGCTACTATTAGTAGATCTTGTTTCACACGGAGTATAAACCATTTGATATCAGTCTAAAATTCATACCCCCATTCTCATGGTCTTAAAATAAGGTCTATAGCAGGCTAATAGACTGATTACCAACGAAATCTCATCAAGAATATAAAAGACTCATTTTATATTCTAAAAATCTTATTGTCCGCCAATCGTGTAAGTTAGTGTACTGTTCAACAATTCATTACGTCGTATTTTAATTATGGAGGGAGATGTAACTCACTGGCTTCAGCAGTCGATTTTTAGCCAATGAACCCGGGGTTCATATTGTCCTCTACTTCAGTATGAATGGAGTAGTATTACTCCCTCTTACATGCTGTGTGGATCATAGACTAACGCATGAGAAGTCTGTTTCGCATAGCTAAGCTCTACTATAGTTTTATGACCGTGAGGTACGGTATGTCAGTATGGTGTGTAGGACCACATACAATTGAATCCTCATATGTTACGCTTACCAAACCAGTATCCTTCGTGAACGAGCTCAGAGAACACTATTAATTGCGAATTAAAATATGTATTTAGGATAGTCAGGACAAAGCGTGGTGGCAGTGCGTGTTGTTATTGACTGTTGCTTCTGGCAGGTGTAACTTACCTGGTTGTAATCTGTGGGAGGAGCCTCCTGACGACGTAGTAAATCCTTCAACAATAGCCCGAATATATCAGCTAGTTACCATTTTTGAAATTCTGTGCATTACAACTCTTCATTGATTTTTTCCCCTCCTAACCTTCATGTTTATCCACTGTAGTATCAGATGTATCCGTTTATTTATTTTGTCGTTTCAAAGTGTGGCGATTTCAGTAAGCACCAATAGGAAACGTTTTTCATTCATCTGTTTGCTTTTCGATGATTAAAGGATGAGGGTTATCGAAACCAAATTTCTGTTAATTTAATTGAGTCAGACATTTCAGCAATTGAAGTGTTTTTTCACAGATATTTTATAAATACACCGAGTTGCCATGTTTACATAATATATTGTTTCATTTACGTTCGATTTCTCATACTTCAACCATATTTTTAGGAGAATAAACTGATCGACCGCTCCAACTGTTTTGTTTTAAAAGTTATGCAAGCAGTAATAATTACTAACACAGAGTCTCCTGAATTGAAACAACTAACAGTACTTGGTTCTGCTTCTTTACTTCCTTTGGGAAATGAGACAATACTCACTAAGTTAATAGGCCTTTTTCTTGACAGCGAAATATCAGATATAATAATTGTTCATAACAAAGCTCAAACAGCGCGTTTAACAAGTTATGTAAATGCACATTATCAGTTTTGGCCTGCATTTGCAAAAGTTAATCTTCACGAACTTCCTGATTACTGTTCGTTACCTGAAACATTGCAAAGGATTCGATCTTCTCTATCATCTGAGTACTTATTTATTACGAATTCTAACACTGTTATCTGTAACATCAATTTGCGCGATATATTTTTGACAATGATCAGAAAAAAGGCGTCAATGGTGGCTGTATTTTCATCGCTCCCTATAACAGAAAGCAAGCTTCTGAAGTCTCTCCCCAGTGAGCTAACCGTAACTACAAGTGATGGAAGTGTATTAATCACTTATGTACCTGCAAGTGATATAAAGAAACAGACCAAACTTTCGAAGAGCCTGACTTCCCAAGGATCTATTCTGTGCCGTTCAGATCTGAGAGACTGTGGATTCTATTTAATTTCCAGGTCAACGTTGGATCATATTACTAAGGTAAACTATACCTGTCATTTCCCTATTTTAGTGACAAGTTGGGCGAAGATATAACCCATCGTAAAAAATCCATTTGGCAGTATATATGGAGTGAACCTCCAGAAATAAATCAAGGTAAATTGCATTTTAATACCATCTTAAATGTTTCTGTTCAGAAACTGAACTAGGTTCTGGTGACAAAACCGCGATCAACGGTGTTAATAATTATACAGAATGTTACAAGACAGGTGGAACGTGTATTCACGAACATAATGATGAAGTTATTGCAGTCAAGATTGAAGATCCGTTGATATATGTTGAAACAAATCGCTTAGTAAATTTGAAAATTATTTTTATTTTTGGTAGTTATATTTTAAAATATGTAACTACTTGTTATGGTGCGTCGGTGGCACAGCGGTAAGGACGCTCACCGACCATGCACATAGTCCAGGTTCTATCCCGGCCGACGCACTCCTTTACCTCGCTAAGCCAGAAATAATGCTGGTGAAGAGGAAGGGTTGGGCATGAGGGTAGCAACCCCATCCTGTAAAACTAAATACTGCTACAGAAACTTCAAGCCACTAGCTTGAGGCCCTATGTTCCACTGGGAACGTGAAGGAAAGAAAAATAGCAGATGGATGCTATTAGCATCAGCCAACAACAATTTTTGACAGTAGGGGCATTTTACTTTTACAGCGAAGCTGTATATGACACTTGCAGGTTGAAACATCATCTGTTGTTGTTCTACAAACCTGTAGGGCTTAAACACATGTAAACCTCAGTGACATTGAAATAAATAATGCTAGCGCTTCATTCTGCAGAATGGTCCGAAATTCTTTAAGGAAATATAAGTTTTACATATGTCTGCTTTTTACTTGGCTCTCAATTTTGTGGAACTACTTAGGTCAAATCTTGATCAGAGTTAATATAAATTATTTTGAAATCGTGAGGGTTTAACTTCCTACTTTTTGTAATATTTATTACCAATAGATAAGTTCGTTATTTGATTGACTGAATTATAAAGCCAAGAAAATGTTATACCTGTTATTTGACTTCATTATTGAGCTGCTGATATGATTACAATTTCCGCGCTCACTGGTAGCTCACCTACATGAAATTGGCTGTTAGTTCTACGATATTAAATTCGTCAGTTGAAAAAATATCCGGTCGTGAAGGGAATATTTTCATTGTCTTAAGTTTCTTGAACGCAAATCAATTTCACGTAGTCATTTAGGCAAGCTGTGTAGTGCAACAGATTAATAGGTAGTATTATATCCAAATTTTTATCCTAAAGTTCATCCTAGGCATGCTTTTTAGTCTAAGTAATTACGGTTGAACATGCGCAAAGCTAGATAGTTGAGGAGTCTGTTACTAATGCCGAGTTACCATACACTTAGGAGTGCAATACTGGCTTTATCAAAGTAGTTGGAATAGGAAATGAGGTTCCATCCTGGTGTGGTGAGAGCTGTCTGCTAGCCAAAATTGGTAGACAGCAATTTACGTCATTGTTTACGTCCCGAATTCTGGTCATGAGAAAAACAAGAACAAAGACTATGCGTGGGCGGATATGATTCGCAGATATGTGGTCTGACCTTCAAAGAAACAACCACAAAGAGATGAAAGATTAACTTTCAGCGAGAAAACAACTAATCAGAAGACGCTGTTTTTCTCTAAGTAATTACAAATACTAATGTACATAAAATACTTAAATATCTCTTGATTTCATCAATAAACGATCTGTTGCTTGACCCTTGTATTCTGTTGTTCCACTGAAGTCACTTATAATTCATAATGCGAAAAAAAACATGCGGTTTTGGAAAATATTATGAAGAAGTGAACGACTGCATATACAAACTAAACTTTCGCCTGCCTCGAATATTATGCTGTTTTTGATTTATTTCTACCATTTCTTCTTGTATCTTTCCTTTTTGCTATTTTTCCTTTCTCCGCTCTTTCAAATCTCAGCAACGCAGTATGATAAGATGGCAGTTAAATCTTATTTAGAAAGTTACGAATTTTCATCAACTTTCATGTTTCATGATGAATGGGCATACATGTTCCCTTTGGACAGTATAGACAATAGGCTTATGATTTATCGAAACTCCTGGAAACTTGTACATTTGTAAACACAACGAAGAAAGAACTAATCGTCTGAGGATAAAATCATGTGACTCAAGAAGTTTAGTGTATGAGTATCAAATATTTATGTCAATTAATGTATGCAAGTGCTTCCCTTTTCGTCTCGCTATATTACTATCACCTGTCTGTGATATGGTAACACTAATCTGCAAAATATTTTGAATGTTTAGGCATCAAAATAATCTCTTCTATAAATTGATAAAGATTCAATACAACGTGAACTTACACTTTACACAGATTATTCAGAAATCGTCCAGTCCAGGAAACCAACAGCAAGGCAAAAAAGGAGAATCAGGAAGGGAGCCGAATCTAATACAGGACAATTGTATGATTCATGAAAAGGCATTTATTCGTGCAACTTTTGTTGGCTCTTCATGCAAGATCGGTGCCAATGTACGCATTTTAAACTCAGTCCTACTTCCTAATGTAGAGATCAAAGATAAGTAAGTAAATTGCTTTACCGTTTGCTTCGCTTTCTCTGCCACGTTTTACATGTTGTTTTTTTCCATATGTTCAAACGTAAAACCTGAGTTGTTTACTTTATCTTGTTAAAACATATCCACCTAAAAAAAGTTATTTCACTCTCTGATTGGTTTTAAAAGTGTCTGTAATTGCAAAGCAGCTACCTAAAACTGAACTTATCAAATCAAATACTTGAAAATACAGTTCACTAAAAATAATTGACATGTATTAACAAAACACTGTTTAATATTCTAAATTACCTTTTATTTTCTGACTGATAGCAAAAAACTTCAAAAATGATAACGAGTAAACTTATCTGTACCATTATAAGTGATTTAGTGCCCTGCTGATCACTGATTCTTAACAGCCTGACAACCCCGACCAGGCTGACATACTGACTGAATATGACTTCATGGATTGTCGCCATGTTTTGTTCTGGCCATCTTTGTCTTCTTACAGTTAAATCCTACTTGTCAAAGAAAACATTTGCTCAGTACATATAAAATATATGCAGTTTCATCAGTGGGCAAAGTTTCACATTGCCATGTAGCGGTGCCGGCTAGGGATGCGTACTTTTCCATACGTATTCAATATGGCAAATGTCTGATGCCATTTGTTATGTCTACTTGTTGTTACGGAGCAGATAACGGTGTACAATTCTTCTCACCCCTACTATACAAATTCGGAAGACAGCATACTCGCTTTTCGGTTATGCAAGGTAAACAACTACTGTCCTCAAACCACTTTTCACTGACAGTACATCTTTATCCTTAGATACCTGTCTGTCTGTCTGTTTTCGACATAAAACTTTGCACCGATGTGCGGCAGTTCAAGTCGCCACACTCCATGTAGAACGCAAAGCAAGAGAAGAAAGTAGAAGAAATGCATAATAGCGACAGTAAACAGAGGTGTAAGACAAAGGATAGTAATAACTTAGATACCTGGCATAATTTAAGCGACTTACTCTGTAAAGAAAAGTGATCTTACCTCAGTTCATTTAACCCTACTGACATTGCACAGCAGGAAATCCAAAGATAATTATTTCAGTGTTCAAACCGGGCATAAATTAGTATTAAAGGAGGAAGAGTTAAATCTTCTATGAAAAGTCCTAATGGAAAATAGATTTGCGCCACATTTTATAGACAAAAATATACCGTCGAAACCTATGAAATTTAACTTAACATCCGTAACCAAAGAAATGATCTACATGAACTTAGAATTCAAAGATGACATCCCTATAAGAAGGATCTCACAGTCTCTGAAAAGAACATTCTAGCCATTACTGTTCAATTACCTGAAGGACAAGATCTTGCAGTTAACCGACTTTATGTGCGTGTATCAATTCACCTGCTTGTGTAGATCTAGGTACGTCGGTCGTTCGACACTGGTCATGTCCAAGAGGGTACAAGAACGTTACCCTCCATGGTTACGAAGAAGTGAAGTGGAGTAATAAGAAGCGCTATCACTGAACATCTCATTGATGCTGGTGACCCTGTCTCTACAGCCTCTTCATCTAAAATCACCTACAAGGCGGAAAATAACTTACCCAAAGCATTACATATCCAACCCATCTGTATTACTGAAGCTTTGGCCATCGAAATATAACAAAAGCCAGATCTCTGTACACACAAAAAGTTTATTCAACCCCTCCAACTCTCATTCTCTTAATCTGTCCATGCTGTATTAGGATAATTCCTATTCTTACTTTGGCTCTACTTATTCTTCATTTTGTTTATTCAGTTTTTGTACCCTTCCCTTATTATCTTGATTGTTACTATTATTACTCTCACTTTGAACTATTTCCGGTATTATTTCACTTGTTCCATTTGCTATTCTAAATCGAATGTATTTTGCAACATTAAATCCTATGTTATCAAATTTCACACTATTTTACGTAACGTTTTCGTCCTTATTTTATTTGTCTACTGATTGTATAATTACTCCACATTATAACATTATTTGTTTTGCCACTTGACACTGAACTATATAATCACACATTTTAATCTCATTCCATACTATTATTATTATTATTTTATGTATTCATACCTCTGTTCAAATTAGCATTATCAAATCTCTCTTTGTGAAGACCTGCTCACATTTAGTATATGAGACTTATTTACTGAACAAGTTCTAGATGACGCAGTAACAAACGTAGCATGTTATCTCAAATCTTTCTTGGTGTTTTCTATCCAGAAGAGACATTCTTCTTAAGATTTGATCGCTTCTCCTCTTATCAGCTCAAAAAGCTTCACCGAGAAAAAGAAAGGTTATACAAAATGAGAGACAATCCTGGTGTTAAGAGACTGAATGTTCTAATTAAATCAGAAGTTCAGAGATTAAATTTGATCTATAACGTAAAGTTCTTATGATGCAAAACCTCATCGAATATGTGGAAGCTGTGTAAGGAAATCACCGAGGGGTAAACAAATAAATGATGGTCTTTGTTCAGTTGCTGTTGGTACTCTTAATAAGTCTTTCATATGTCGTCCAGTTGATGTTATGATCTCAGTTGTTACTAGCGCAGTAATATCTGTTCCGGATTTAGCATAAACGATGTCTTCAAGTGTGTCAAATCCCTGAAACCTGCTCAGTCCCTTGGTCCAGATGGTGAACCAGCTACTATCCTCAATAAATGCGCTGACATTTTATGTCATCCTCTCACTGGTGTTTTCAATAAATCATTTTTTACTAACACTGTGTCTGCTTCTTGGAAGTTCATGAAAATTGTTCCTCTGACCAACTGTTAAGTTCACATCTATTGCCATTACTTCACCTTTTTTCAACAGTGGAAAGACTGCTTTTACTAACTTTGAAGGCTTTTAACGAACCTAACCAATTTACTTATAAACATATTAGGTGTACTTTAGATGCCACTATCACCTTGTATCATAATATTGTCTCTAGTTTAGACGAAGGTGCCAAATGTATTGCTAGATTACACACATGCCTCTAAGTCTGTACCCAGGCCTCTTTTGTTAAACAAGCTTATTGCGACACAAGCACAGTGCTGGACTACCAAGTGCGCTGTTTACAATGGGCAGTCCTTTACTGTCTCACTTACTCTAGCTGGTGTTCCTCAGGAGGCTGTTCTTTCCTCTTTTCTCTTTTTTTGCTTACATGACTTGCCCCATTCTGACGAAGACAATTTTGTTAAGTATGCCAATGATCAGAGTGTTTCTATGTCTGTTACTTCGCAGTCAGACTGTCCTAAAATGAAATTAGTCAGTTGTCCTAGTCGGGTGGTCTTAAGCTTAATCCCTCCAAGTGTCAGGTGCAAGTGCGACTCACGTGAACAGGTTAGTTCGCATGGTTCCATTATCGTAGATGGCACAGAAGTTGAAAATAAGTCGATTGTTAAATACCTTGGACTGTGTTTTTCCTCTGATCATTCCTGGTCTTCCCACATCATGTTAGTTTCCAGAAAAACATTTTGTTTGACGTGAAGACGATCTGGTATCGTTCCGTCTGTAATATTACAGTTTGTTAATTCTCGTACTGTGCCTATACTTCTTTACTGCTCCCCCTTAGTCTTTCCAGGGCTACACAAGAAAGACCTTGTTATACTGTGAAGGGCACTAAAAGCAGTCAGTAGGGCGGGTGGGGTGTTGCCAAACCAACTCGCTAATACTGCTGTAGATAGATACTTGAATTCCTACAAGAAATTAGCAAATATTAACTTGCCAGACTCTGAACACCCTCTCTGTTCACAAATCTTTCCTTGGATCCCATTGGGTAGGACTAGAGGCAACTATAGAAGACTATGCTCGGACGACTAAGTACAAAAGCTACACAATACCTTATTTAGCATATGTTCTATGCGTTCAGAAATGTGTAAGGCAGGAAATTACCAACATACTCCGGAACTCTAAATAAACAGCCTTTTTGGGTTTTCATTGTTACATTGTCGTTAAGTTTTTCATTTGATTTAATTATTGATTATATCCATTTTTTGGACAATATTATTATTTTACAAAAATCCTGTTTTAATTATTGCCCGTTTAATGAGAAAATTAAATTCAATATTGTATTATATCCTGAAAATTCTATATTTGCACCAAAAGTACTGTTTGGCATAAAGCTATTATTATCTAGAGTTTAACCGTACTTTATTCATACATTTTACTGGTGATCCTGGCAATCAAATAATAATGCGATCATTAAAGTCAGTCAAAATTATTCATCAGCGAAAAGTATTGCGTATTGTATCTCAAGTATAAATTAGTTTCCCAGTTAAATACACACATAACAATAACTAGATGCGTGTTTATGCATTTAGCAGTGAACCATTCATTCTCTCATAAGCGTTCTCGATACAATCCAACTCCCCTGACCTTGGCAGAAGGAGGTGTCTATAAAGAGTTAACTAGATAGCTAGTTGTAAAAAAAGTGGGCAACTATTTAAAATGAAGTAATTTGGTGGATAGTGACCTTTCCGAGAAATGATTTCTTTATCCAGTTATTTTCTATTTTTCCTTATATCAAGCATAGCAATATTAGCTAATGCATCAGAATAAAGGGTTCTGTACTCAGTACATAGTTAGTCTGAATTATTAAACCTGACATTCTTTTTTGAATTGCTAAAGTTAATTCGCCTCAATGCTTTATTTTCTCAGTCTTAATTTTGACAAGTAATATTTTACCTTTTTCAGTTGTACCATTCAAGGATGTGTCATTGGCGAAAAAGCTGTTATTGGAGACCAATCCGTCCTGAAAAGTTGTGCTGTTGCCGCATTACAACGTGTACCGACTGGCACTAATCTAGAATCAAAGCAGTTAGGATTTATAGACCCAGAATTAAATACCACATAAACCTTTTCCATTGTCTAACTGTTACTTCTTTTGTTATACACAAAATAAATCAATATGACAAAATTTTCAGCTTTTCATGAATGCTTCAAGTAATATCTAAGATTCTGAGTCTCGTAATTATTGTAAAACTATGTGGAGTTTGGGGAAGAGTCTGATAAACTTACGAAGCTTTCAGACCATGATGAAATTGTCTTAATGAAATCTTCAACTTTTGAGAGGTTCTGAAATATAGACACACTTGTCGCCGCACAAAACTTATCATGTTTCTTGAGCTGAAGGTGGCATTTAACTCTGTCAGGTGACGGATGCTGTGGAAACGCATAACTTTGAAGTGAGCGAGGTAAAAGTGTGTTGTACTGTTCGAAGTGTTCTAGTTAAGCTCATGTGGATTTATGAGAGCTTATGGAATTTCGCCGTCTAAAGCAACGAAGACCACTGTTTTCCGTAGAGGACGCCCACTTTTTTATCATTTTTTTATTCAATATTATTACGGGTGTATTAATATGTACAAACCTTACCGATTTTGATATATCAGGAATTGATTTTCCACCAGGAAAGATCCATCGCTCTAGACCACGCAGATGATATACAGGGTCTTATAAACAACCTGAATACAATCTGAGTATTTTGCCGTACGATTTGCCCTTGCGAAATGTAAGACGATACTGTAAGACTGGTCTACCCTGACTCCTAGTTTAAGGCCCGACCGAAAGCTGCTACCTTGACGTGGTGGTCGGGCTTGAACACCGCAATGATCTATTCAAGCTATACTGGCTGAGACTTATGTCTCTTGAGGTCTACCATGCCAGGCAGGTTGTTTGGATAGCGGTTAAACAAAAAGCAGCTACCCAATCCAACATCATGTCCAATACAAAATCACAAAATTTCATGCCGGATCGGCCGTGGCCCGGATTAACAACGACCGCGCTTCCTGCTGCCGTGTCACAGGGCAGGAGTGATAAATATGCTACTGAGACACACCAAACAAAAAGAACAAACAAAAACAGGCCGCGTGTGACCGGCCTCAAGCAGTTGTCCCCTGGGCTCTGCGGTCACGCAACCAACTTCCACGGTGTGGGCAGCCGGGAAGTAACAATCGCCCTCACAATCCGAAATGCACACGAAACCTCTCTATTACTCACTCATCTTTGTCTTCATCTTCATCTCTATCATCTTGCCTTCCTTCCACTGATGCAACTCCTCGACTTGATAGCTCTCCACTCTCCACTCTGCGTCCACTAAAAACGATGGAAGCCAAAAAACCACCACCGACAGCCTCTTAAAGCCGCGCCACCAATTTCATATAGGAGCTCTTAATGTTAGGACACTTTGCCAAATAGGACAACAAGCATCACTAGCCAAGACCCTGGCATCACGAGCCATTGATGTATGCTGTGTTTCAGAAACACGCATACAAGACCCAAGTGTGGTTATTCACCTAACCCCACCTGGCCAACAGGTTGAATCTGCAAAATTCACCTTGAGGGTGTCAGGAGATGCCACAGCTAGTTCACGAGGATTAGCTGGCGTAGGGATAGCTTTGAGTACTAGGGCAGAAAAGACATTGCTTGACTGGATCCCGGTAGATAGCCGAATGTGTGCTGTCCGCCTGAACGGATCAGTAAGAAGGAGGAAGGACTGCACTACTCGCCGATGCCTTTTCGTAATCTCCGCCTACGCCCCCACTGACTGCAGTTCAGATGAAACGAAGGATGAGTTCTACCAAAAGCTGTCTAGTTTGGTGGAAAGGCTAAACGCTCAGACATAGTCGTTCTAGCTGGTGACTTTAACGCTCAAGTAGGGAAATTGTGTCAATCTGAGAAGGATGTCGGTGGCACCTATGGAGTTCCGTGCCAGCGAACCGACAACGGTGACCGTCTCCTACAGTTCTGCTCTGATAATCATTTGTTTCTTGTAAGCACTAACTTCAAACACAAGGAGAGACACTGTTTGACTTGGAGACCCCCTTCATCAAACCAACGCTGGACACAAATAGACCACATAGCAATAAGCTATCGTTGGCGTGGGTCGGTAGGAGATTGTCGCTCCTTCTGGAACACGTGCGTAGATACCGACCATGCACTGGTCCGCGCTCGGGTGTGCTTACGACTGAACGGACGTAGGAAACAGCTGGCGGTAAAACCATCACGTCCCCAGCTCGATCAGGAAACTAAATCCGTATTTGAGGAAGAACTAGCTAAACACATATCTGTGTTCGACAGCTGTGCTCACCCTGAAGAAGCTTGGAAAAATATCCAGGCAGCCATAGATACAGCTGTAAAAGCTGTGAATAAGGTAAACCCAAAGGTGAGTAAAAACCACTGGATCTCCACCGCCTCATCCGAACTGATAGATGCTAGAAGACTTATTCCGGCGAGCTCCGAATTCAATGAGGAGCGAAAGCTGCACAAGAGGAAACTTACGAAAAGTCTCCGCAAGGACCGTGAACAGTGGTGGGCGACAAAAGCCAAAGAGATGGAGAAAGCTTCGAGGATAGGCAACACCAGGCAACTCTTTGGACTCATCAGGGAAACGGGTGGGAGAAGACAAATCATTAGTGAGACAATCTCGGAAAAAAATGGCACTATAATTAGCTCCCAGGATAGACGACTGGATCGTTGGAAAGAGCATTATGAGGAGCAGTTTAATTTGCCCACAGCCACGCTCAACCTTCCGAGCATCCAACACCTCCCTGAATGGGATATAGACACAGGTCCTCCGTCACTAACTGAGGTTACTAAAGCTGTCACCAATCTGAAACTAGGCAAAGCAGCGGGACCTGATGGAATGACTCCAGAGGTATTTAAGTACGGTGGAGACAGCTTACTGTCCGGATTAACTGAGGTACTAGGCAGCGTCTGGGAATCAGAAGAAGTCCCATCGGGTTGGTGTAAGTCACTGATTATCCCCATATACAAGAAGGGAGACAAGTCTTCCTGTGATAATCACAGAGGGATTAGCTTGACTAATATAGTATCTAAAGTCTTAGGCTCAATAATCATGCGTAGACTGAGTGGTGCTCGGGAAGCACAAACACGAGAGAGCCAGGCAGGCTTTAGACCAGGAAGAGGGTGTATTGATCATATCTTCACCCTCCGACAGATTCTAGAACATAGGCATTCCTACCGGCGTCCAACAGTCATTATATTTCTTGACCTAAAGGCAGCATTCGACTCTGTCGATCGGGAAGTTCTCTGGAGATGCTTGGCTGTAAAGGGAATTCCGAGAAAATATATTGCACTGATTAAGGCACTCTATTCGTACTCATACAGCCAGGTGAGGGCTTACGGCGAGCTGTCATCTGAACTGATGACGACCAGTGGTGTCCGTCAAGGATGCCCATTATCTCCTTTTCTATTCAACTTCATCATAGATGTGTTAATGGACTTAACCCTAGGTGACTTCAGCGACTCAGGGATTGACTTGCTACCGGGAATAATCTCGTTGACTTGGAATATGCAGACGATATAGTCCTTCTAGGCGAAGACGCTGACGAAATGCAGAGTCTTCTAAACACCTTGAGCCGCAATCTACGAATGTTTGGCATGCGATTCGCTCCCGCCAAATGCAAGATGATGTTACAGGACTGGACTACATCGACGCCTAGTTTAAAAATAGGAAGTGAAGTGGTAGAGCACGTTGACCGCTTCACTTATTTGGGAAGTACCATCAGCCCCAACGGGCTGATCTCTGACGAAATCTCAGCACGAATACAAGGGGCTCGTTTCGCATTTGTTAGTTTACGCCGACTCTGGCGTAGACGAGATGTTCGACTATCGACCAAAGGGCGGGTGTACTGCTCATCAGTCCGCTCCGTCCTCCTTTATGGTTGTGAGACCTGGCCACTGAGAGTGGAAGACATGAAAAGACTAGCTGTCTTTGATCATAGGTGCCTGCGTTCTATTTCCCGTGTAAAGTGGCATAATAAGGTGAGCAACATTGAGGTTAGGCGTAGAGTTCTAGGTAAACAGGGGAAATCAATCGACGAAGTCGTGAAGCTACAAAGACTGAGATGGTTAGGACATGTGTTACGTATGCCAAGCCATCGCCTCCCTCGACGAGCAATGTTAGCGGATATAGGGTCAGGCTGGAAAAAAGCTAGCGGCGGTCAAACAAAAACTTGGCATCAGTCAATGAAATCCACAACAGTTGGTCTAAGCCACGTAGGAAGGTGTAGACTTCCAGGCTGGGGTCCTCGGGACGGTAAAAATCTATGGTTGGAAACAATTGGTGACATGGCTCAAAATCGTTCTCAGTGGCGCAGATGCATCCACTCCCTGTGACTTATGATCTCCAATGAAACTGTTTTGTTTTTCTTTATTACTCCTTTGTCTCACACCTCTGCTCACTGTTTCTATTATGCTTTTCTTGTACTTTCTTCTCTTGCTTCGCGTGCTACACGGAATGTGGCGACTTGAACTTCCGCACATTTGTGCAAAGTTCTATGTCGAAAACAGACAGACAGACCTAGTTTAAGGATAGGGACTCAAGTGGTTAGATGAGCCGACCATTCAACTATTTGGGAAGTTGTACCAGCTCAAAGAATTGGCAGAAGTTAGAATTCAAGGACCATTGGATCGGGTCCCAGTGGCTTAATGGTATACAAGCTCGCCTTGTAACCGGAAGGTCCTGGGTTCGAATCCCGGTGGGTGCGTACTGATGAAGAGTCCCAAACTAGGACGAAACAGCTGTCCAGTACTCCCAGGTTTTCCAATGGTTCTCTAACTAATGTCAGCTCATGATGAAATCCTGAAATCAAAGAAACTAGTTGTTAACCTAGTGTCACCATCAATACAAAGGGCTTACTAAGCATTTATCAACTTGCGGCATATTTAGTGCAGACATGATTTCCATCCGTCCATCAAAGGACGTATATACTATGCAACTGTTCTTTCTGTCCTACTCCACACTTTGAAGACATGATCTTTAAGGCTGGAAAAAGTAAAAATATAAGCAGTTTTCCATCATGTATGCCTCTTTTCAATCTCTTGTTTCAGGTC